TGAAAACGACTCAGAGTGTTTTTAGACAAAAACGCTGTTTTCAAATGTATCCGGATTAGTGTAGACGTAGCCTTAATTGAATTGCCTCTACACTATTTAGATTTTTAATGCTGTAACTGCCCACATCAATATCATCCATACTTTATTTTTTCTCTGCTTTTTTTTAGCTTTAAAGATAGTGATGGACTCAAAATTGTGGTGCAGTACGTCAGCTGAAGCACTAAAGTTTCTACGCCCCACGTGTCTCATGTTGAAATGAAGAGCACTTAATTATCAGCCTCCTTTTAATCAGATATGTCTGATGGTGAACACAAGCCTCCAGCAGCCAGCTGTCTGAGCTGAGGAAACAAAAGGCACACTTACAGTCTAAGCTTTGGTTTCCCACGAGCGTTAGAGTTAGCCTCACTGCTACGGTGTCATGTTGCTTTCACATGGATGCCACAGGGATCCTGCGCTCACTCTTCATAGAAAGTGACTGCGGTAAATTACATTACACAGATTTAGTGGTTTCAGTTTATTTATTAACTGTACTTACTGCACGGGAGCAGAGAGTCCAAGATAGATTTAAAACACAGACTTTGTAAAACTGTGATTCAGATTAATTTAATTTTAGCTCATTGTTCTCCTGCTGGGCCCCATCTGTTGGTTCATGCTCACTGCTCTCAGACTGTGTGGCTTGCAGAAGCAACAGTGTATTCTCAGCACAAAGCAGAGCACGTTACTTAATAGCTAGTGGAAACAGTGCAAACCTCAGGAGTGGAAACCAAAATGATTCAAGTCTTAACATTTATTGAAGGCTGTGTGGGAGTGCTGAGGAAACAAGTGCTGCTGTGGAGCTAATTTGGAGCTAGCTGCTTTATGTTTCCTTTAACAGGGTGATTCTCTTCAGTATTACTGGTCAACAACTGCACATGATCCACACTGTAACTGTTTGTGTGTGAAAGCAGTTACAAAACTAAAGCAGCTCCTGTTACATGTGCTAATGTGTTGTTGGCTGAGGCTCAGGAGGTTACAGAGCAGATCACTTTCTAGTCTCCCCGTCTAAATGAAAGTGTTGTGTAAAAAAACACCAGTGTTATCCTTTTTACTGTCTGATATGTTGTACAGGGTGTATCAGAAAGAAACCTCAGGTCAGCTGATCACACGGTCCAAGTTAAAGTCCTCCTGGAGCTCAGTGCACTGGATCCAGCTCTAACTCCAGATGATGATGATGACGGTCAAACTCTTGGTTAATATGAAGGCTGTCAGGAGACTCATCATAACTCTGCTGCTCCCTCTCTGCAGGTGCTGTGTTCAGCTGAGACGATGATGCTGCTCGTCTTCAGCTGTGTGGGTGGAGCAGCAGCAGAGGTGGAGGATGGTGTGGATGATCAGGTGTGTTTTTTTTGTTTTGTTTTGTTTTTTGTTTTTTACAAGATTTATTTTCATTTTTAAATTGAAAAACAAACAAAGCGAACACACAAACAAACAGCTCACAACTATGGCACACAGCAAACATCTACAACTAACCACAACATGACAGGCTGTTGTGACCACAGGAGCACTTCTAGGTGCACACTCTTGTATCCATGCCTTTCAAGGATAACCTCAGACTTCTGAAAAACGAGCCAACGTACGATTGCGAGATCTCGCAAAAGTTTTAGCCGCATTCTTCGGAGGCCGCCAGCTCGAAGCCAACCGGGATGTCGAGGCACGATGTGCCGGGAAGCGGTGTTCCCCCCGGCTGTAGCAGGTCTCACCTGCCGTTAGCTTCGAGATGGTGGGTGTCAGACTCTCCGAAAACATCAGAGCACTTTTGCAAATATGTGATGTCTTGTAAACCGAGCAGAGTATTTGACAGTTTACACAATACATTCACGCCTCAAAATATCTTAAAAGTTATTATTGTGACCCAGAAAGAGTATAATATAGCTGCATCAATCATCTTAATTTTTTTTCTCCCATGTCCCTTGCGGGGCTCTGTAGAAAACCAAACACAAAAAGTAATAACATAATGACATCAGGCACTCAGCTGTTTCAGGGCTGATCAGCTGTTCTACAACTTTTACCTCAGGGGATTTGAGCCACCTACAGATTCTCCTGTACCTGCCAGCACACTGACACTTTGACTATCACAGGCCTGTGTGTGGACATGTGGACGCTCTGTGTAACAATGATATTCATTTTAGCACTACTTACTACTGCACCCCCCCCACCCCCCCCCCCCCCCCAAAACGCCCAAGAGAGGAAGGTCAGTTTCCATTTCTGTGCTTAGTATCTTACTAAATGCAGGGTAATGACTGTGTAATGTGTTGAATTTAATGTAGTGGACTGTCTGATGGTCCTTGCTGATAAGCTGAGGTAATAGAAGACATCCTGTAGATAAGCAGCTCTAGAGATTTACTGTCTCTGCTGCTCTGAACGAGTCCTCTGAGCTTCAGCCGCAGACACAAACCCTCAGATTTATCCAGTCAGATTCATTTACAGGACCTGAGGGAGCAAAGCAGACACAAACTGCAGAATATTTTATTTATTGGTCTGTCAGCACCTAATCAAGCCTCTCTGACCAACTATTGTTGAAGTGCTGGCTGATTGTGTGAGGCTGCAGCTCCATCTGTCTAATGTTGGTGTAGAGATCATCCTTTCATCAGCTGCTGCGACAAAACCTTAAAGCTCAGATAGAGATAACAGGTGTCACACAGTAACTGTGAGATGAGCTGTATCTGCTGCTGGGAGGCTGAGGTGGAGGTGGCTGTGATAAAGGTGCTTAGATTTGCACTGGGAATGACAGCTGTCAGGTATAAGAGTAAATATATCTGGTTAGTTTGGACTGTAGAGGATTATATTAATTTGATATTGAGCTGGGAGTGGTGGGAGGATTGCTGTGGTAGGTGTGACAGCAGAAGTGAGTGATTGAAGGAGAATGATTAGTTTACTAAAATGAAATAAAATGTCTTCACATGTCTGTGAAATACTCAGCTTCAAAATAGAAAGTGCTGTCTCACTGTGACATCTGTTAGAGGATAGTCTGTACTGATCTGTCAGTGCATTATGTGCTCAGTTGAATCTGACAGTGTTTGCTGCCACTCACTGCTCTGGTGTGTACACATGTTGTACGGCCATAAAACTGTGAGAGATTCAGTTCTTGAGTGTTTCATGAGGCAGATCCTGATTCTGTCAGCACAGCTTTTGATTTCTTATTTCCTGATGTTCACAGAGTGTCTCGACTCCACATGTAGAGTTGGTTCCACTAGCGTGAGGGCTGAACTACAAACCAAGTCCAGCATAGCTTAGCTTTCTTTGCATTAGCTGGCTCATAAAAGCTCAGATATAACAGACATGCTTCAGTCTCTGTTTGCTCTCACACTGAAAGTGATTTCACGCCTCCTTTCACACCTACTTCAGTCCAAAACCATATCAGAGGAAGTGTTGATGGAGGTCAATAGAATATATAAGAAATACAATAGAAACACAGCAGTGGTGCTGATAAGTGAGGAAGAGGAGTAAGCAGTGCTGCAGACGATCAGTATGGAAGCAGTGAGAGAAAGTCCACAACAAAGTTATTAAATCATTGTTGACTCATCTGAAGCTCTGAACACATGACCCACTCAGATTATCTGTTTCCATATGTTACCATATCACAGAGACGCCTTCCTGATAATGAAGCTTGACTTTGGGCTCCGTGTACCTCTCAGCCTCTTAAGTCACTCTGTGGTGCTCTTCATGTCAGCTGTGGTATTTGCTGTGTGTTTAATCTGTGCACACAAGTTGTTTTGCATGATAAATACTAACACACTGATGTGTAAACACTGAGAACAGTGACTACAAACAAACCCATAAACAGGAACGACCCACCTCTTATATGGTTAATGAGAAAAAGTCCGTTTTTTATTTACAAGCACAAACCAGCAACACTTTACTGCAAACAACTTCAGACCCTTGAGCTGTTTTCAGGAAGTTGGGACTGAAATAATCTCTGTTGTTGTTTGTTTGATGATCTTAGTGCTGATTTGATCTTTTCAGCTTGTTTAACTGAGTCTTAATGTTAAATATCCTGTCTGGTATGAAAGAAGAAAGGAACAACCATCTGAATTCACAGACCTTTTGCAGTTTCACGTGTTTATTCTTAGATCGTTTTAACTTCCTTCCAATTTGCT